TCCATAGATTATTTCAGATTTTAGATTTATAATGCTAGAAATAGTTCCTTTTAAAAATTAATTAGGTGAGAAATATTTCAGATGTCTATTCATTAAAGTCAACACTGATCTCTTAAATAGAGACCACAGTAATTTCTATATTCCCATCTTGTACAAAGAGAATAAAGCTGGCTTATTACTAAATATTCTAAATTATACATCCCAAGTATTAGAAATTTATTAACATTTAGTATCTTTCTTTAATTGGCCTGTAGTCATTGTGCACAGTAATAGTACTGTTTTTCATAAAGACATTTTTATACAAGTATGTAAGTATCTAATATCTTACTATACATTATCTTTTACTTTTTAACATAAATGCAATTTTGGGTAAAATCTAAGTAGAGTAATCATATCCCAGGTTTGATGGAAAACTCATTATTATAGTATCATCTGGTTCAATAAACTGCTTACATAGTTTAGGTGATGTATAATATAATTTAAGTTTAAAAACTTCCAAGCACTTTAAAGGGAACTAATATGGATATGGATATTGTTCAAATGTATGGGCATAGATATTGGTCAAGTGTATCCCTAAATGACTGATGTGTTACAAGTCTGGCCATTAGGGTGGCAGTGATAAGTAGTAGTAGAAAACCGTAAAGAGGAAGGGCTCAGTGGAAATGGATATGGAATGGTTAAAACATGGAGCCATGGAATGTGATTGCATTAATAGGGGTGCACAAGGACTCCCGTTTCCCTATATGATAGCTTTCTTTCATATCCTCCTACTCAATTCCATCTGCTATGATATGACTCACCAGAGGCCTGACAAGATGGGGCCACCTAATCTTAGACCTTTGGCCTCCTCGACTATAGAATGAATCAACCTTTTTCTTTATATATTACCCAACATCTATCTTTGTAATAGCAATGAGAGACTAATAACAAAACTGTAACAATTTGGGGACATAAATTAACACTAGTATTACTTTACTTATAGAAAAGGCAGCAACATAATCAACAATTATTTCTTGAAGACCTACAATGATCTAAATTTTGTTGTATATTAGATAAAATATAAGGACAAGCTGGGCATGGTGGTGCACGCCTTTAATTCCAGCAGAGATGGGCAGATCTCTAAGCAAGTTCCAGGCCAGCTGGGGTTACAGGGAGACCCTGTTTCAAAACGACCAAATAAATAAATTAAAAAAATATATATAGACACGCATACACAAAGGGTAAAATATGTTGATTACCTCAGAGAGTATGTATGGCAAAAACACAATATACTCTAAAATACCTTAATATACTCAAAAATACCTTAAATAACTGAGGCATTACAAACCATGGTAATTACTAGTAAAAGCTGTAAATGCTCAAAGAAAAAAAGATATGACTTGTTGGAGAAACTAGTTTTTACCTATGGCAAATAGAAGGGAAACAGTATGACAGGAAATTAAACATCTAAAGAGAGGGATAACTTAAATCCCTTCTTTATATCAAAATTCTAAGTCCTTTTCATTGTTAAAGCTCTCTGTAGCCTATTAACTCTTTTACAGTGTCTTTGCAAAGGATGTACAAGTATGATTATGGTAATATTTGTGTTCCGTGCTCCAGATTGAGAATTAATTTTCATAAGAAAAGAAATAAAAATTAGTAATCATTATAAATCAAGATAAATTATTCTCTATGACAGAAAATAAATAGGACTTCAAGTTATTTAACTGGAATATACATAAAAATTAAGTATTTTCTGAATATTAATGATGTTTTAGT